CGTACATGTTTTGCTAAATAAGGCGTCTCATAGTTAAAATCTTAATTTTCATCAGTACTACCGGGAATATGTTTTCCTTGAAGAACAATTGACCATCTAGTGTTAAAAGGATCGGTGAGATAAAATACTTGTTTTTCTTGGGTTACCATGATAGTGGTTCGTTCTTATAAGTTGCCTTTCAAATATCAACCCGTGTGAATCCTAATTCATCAATTTTTACACTAGTGTTACTGTCAATCCACTTGCACTTAAATAAAGGCATTTAAAAAGAAATATAGTCAATCTCCCGAATCTCCTCAATGAATCCAAAGTACGCTCTAGATGGTACATGATTGTTATCTTTAGAACTAGAAAAGTACATGGTTTCAGCCTCAACCATAACCCTACTATTTTGCATGTTGCTACAATCATCCTTTGATTTTGAATATAATGAATATTTACTAATGTCGTATGCACTCCAAGTAATTACTTTAAATTTAGGCATACATGAAAACCATTTGCAAGTATCTGATGCACTACTCTCTTTAGATATAATTTCATTAGACCAAGTTATGAAAGTTTTGTTATTCTCTGTCAACAACCACTTTTCATTAATCTGGGGGAATTTTTCCTTTATAAGATTTTTGTGAATGGTCATATAAGGTTGAACTTCACTAAGGTTATTCAATAAATCTTCATGTAATGCTCTACCAGATACATCTATTGTAAATAAAATGGACCACAAATTTTAATATCCCTTACTAAATGAGCAACTAAGTGAACCATAATGTCAAAGAATGATATATTAAAAAACATATCTAATTGACACAAGATAATTACACTTTCGTGTTTCAATTCATCTAAATTTCCAGGATTAATAAGTTTACTATATATAGCATTGAAGAACAAGCAAAATCTAGTTATAATTATCCTCACATTTCTTGGTAAAATGCTACAGTTAGCCACAGGTAGAAGTTGTTGGATCAAGACATGACAATCATGAGATTTTAAGCCAACTAATTCGTGATCATTCTCTGGCACAAGTTTCTTCATATTTCATGAGTACCATTGACGAACTTTGATACCCTGCAAATAATCGCAAATATTCTTTTTCTTTTTTAGATAGAGTGTGAAATGCTGGGGGAAAATTGGGTAAATTTCCTACATCTTTTATGACTAACTCTTGTCGTATACCTATCACAACCAAACTATCACATACATTTTTCTCCACATGCATTACATCAAGGCTATGTCTTACATCAAGACTAGAAAGTATGGAAGATCAAAGAATCCCGACCTCTCTTTCCAGATATTTTTCTCCACGGACTTTTTTTATTTCTTTTCAAAGGCAACATTAATGTGTTATTGTCTTTTATAAAATTTATTTCTGATTAAGGGCTTTTGAGAGATAACAAACTCGTGTTCTATTTAAAAGCCTTCCTCAATCTACGACATGGATGATTAGGGCTTAAAAAAAATTTATGTCCAAGATAGACACACTTTTTCCTTTTTGTAATTGGTAGTGAGATGTATCAACTTCACATATAGGACACACTTTATGTCCCTTGACGCTATACCCAAACAAATTACCGTATGCAAGAAAGTCATAAATTGTGCAAAACAACATGATATGCAACATAAAGTTATCACCTACATACGCATCATCAACATCAACACTTTCCTCCTACAAAAGTATTTGATCTTCAATCGATAGCGCTAAATAAACATCTATGTCGTTTTCTTGTTGTTTGGATCCCAAATCATCATTGGTAGCATCATATACTTGCGCTTCATGCACAACCATGAAGATAGGTTGTAAATCATGAGAAGTACATGACATAACGTAAGGTTAGTAATAAAATTACCAAAAGGGTTCATTCTGTCGGTGACAAGTCCAAGTCTAAGGTTCCTCGGTTCAAGGGAAAAATTTGTAAATAAGAAATAAATTTTCTTCTATTGCACTGAATCGGCTACATGGAAATTTTTTCCATCACACACTCTTTCATCTGCATGCCTTCTAGTATTCTTTGCAACACTATATTTACAAACAATCTCTTGAACCTTGGAATTGTCGGTAGGTACCACATCACCTCGACAGGAACACCCTTGCTAGTTACACCATTATCGTCATCAACACCATTGTCCTTCTACTTGTAGTATGACTCCCCACACCTCAGGCACTCCTTCAAGTTTTCAAACTCTTTTCTATATAAGATGCAATCATTATAACATGCGTGTAATTTGACATAGTTCAAACTCATTTGGAACAATATCTTCTTGGCCTCATAAGTAAGGTTTGACAACATGTTACCTTCAGGAAACATTTCTTTAACCAATTCAAGAAATTCATTGAAACTTTTATCTGTCCACCCTCCTCTAGCCTTAACATTAAAGAGTCTTAACACAACTGAAAATCTTGTAAAACTTTTACATCCCAAATACAATTAATCTTCCACGTCTCTTCACAAAGTATCTACCACATTAGCCTTCTTGAAAGCATCTACTTCAATATCTCAAATCATGTTTTCTAGAGTAACATTCATATATTCTTTATCTTCAACTTCAACTCTAAGTGACAAAGGTCTCTTTTTGTCCCTTCACCATATCATACTCAATTTGTGTAATTTTGAATAATTTCATCACAACCGCCTCGATTGAATATAACGTCCCTTGGATGTTTTTTCATATTACAACAATTTTTACAAGGATACCAAATAAATCTCATAATTGTCAGGATGATTTTTTTCTGCAAAATCAAGAAATTGTAATCTCATACTCTTTACTTAATCTATTGACTTTCATCAAACTACGATGCACAATCACATAAATTTTCTGAGAATAAAATAAAAATATACACAACCAACAAAAATGAACACTCAATATAAATAACTGTAATAATAACAACAACATCGAAGATGGAAACAACATCATTGATGGAAAAACCAAGAACAACAATAATAGTAATGGAGAACAACAACAACAATACTAATGGACAAAAACAACAACAAGAACATGATTAACATACCAAAGAATAATGGTGAGAGAGTTTTTTCTTTCGCTAAGGCTTCCTTCCTCCTTGGAGAATAATGGTGGGAGAGTTTTTAGTTGGCCCGAGAAGTGTTATTTCTCTAGAGTTCAAAAAGTTAATGAAGTAGACACTGAGGGAATAAAAAATATAAAGACTATTAATCACGATTTTACTAAAAAACTGAGGTAACATATCCGACGTAAAATCTATAAAAAATAAAGGTGTCTTTTTGGTTCCAAAATATAAAAAAGTTAGGGAGGTTTTATATCGTTTTTACAAAAAACGAGGTAACTTTTTCGACGTAAAATCTATATAAAAAAATCATGGGAAGTTCTAAATAAGACTTATCTCTAACACCTAACGAAAGAAAAAACTCAAAAATAAGTCCTAACTTCTAAGGAAGAGCCAACTGAATCCCAATCCACCCAAAAATCCTATACCAAACACTAAAAGCTATGTTACAAGTGACCAACAAATAAGATGCTGATTCAATCCTATCCCCACAAAAGATACAAGAGATACCCTACGGGGCTTGAGAAAATTTTCCTTAGTAGGAATTTTTACTTGCAGAAATTGCCAAGAAAAAACTGCCACCTTAAAGGGAGCCCAAATATCCCAAATAAGGAGAAGAAATGGATATTCCCAAGATAAAGTATCCCTAGGTGAAGGGAAAAGGCCACCAAGAATTCGATAAGCTGACGCCACCGAAAATAAACTAATCTCTAGTATATGTCTCCACACCTACCTATCATTCTCCTCAATAAACCTAAACTACTGCAAGATCGAGAAAAAAATAAGAGACACGGAGAACAGTCTCCTCCAGCCAAGGTCCCAAGAAATCCTCCCATCTACCCACCTACTAATTTTCGCCCACTATGTCATCCTATGTTTGGGAGATGGTGAAGAGTCTCTGAAACTTTGCCCTAAGGGGTACACTCCCTATCCAAGGATTTTTCTAAAAAGATCTTTGAAGACCTGTTCCGACCTTCTTAACAAATCCAATCTCAAACCAATTATGAGGACCGTCCTTTTTAGATTTAAGGAGGGAAATTTCTTTTGATTAAGAAATGATGGAGAGAGATCCGAAAGATCGACCCCCATATAGGGAAGTGACAATACATTGTCTAGAGTATATATAATGTTGATAAAACAAATTTTGAACCTAGAAATGTTTAGTCCCTACTGCATAATATCAAATTCTAAAAACATTACTTTGTTCTATTCGCATATTAGAAAGGAAAGTGATTTTTCAGATTTGAGCATATGCTGAAAGTGGTTAATATGTTGGACATCAAGGTAAAAAAACACTTTTATTAGTTGGTTGCCTATGTTTATATTACCTTTTAAGTTTTGTTTTTGTTTGTAGATGACTTTCAATTTTGCTTTGTGCTGCTTCAAGATATTCATAGCTTGTTTGTTTGCAAATTTCAATGATGACGTGACATTTGTAAATTAGTTGAACAAATTTCAACATTCTCTGATACATTACATGCTTACAATTTATAGTATATATGTGTGCTTGAAGTCAAGCTAATTAACTTGTTACTAAACTAACTGTAAAACTCCCAAAATATAAAAGACCAACATAACCGACGATATTTATAACTAAACTTTTTATTTTATTTTATTTTACCATGTTACCTTTCATTCTATATTTATTGCTTGTTGAACTTAAACTCTAAGCTATTCAATATTTGTTTGAAGCTTTCTTGAACATTTATGGCCAACTTTGACCTGTTGAAATTGATTTAGATGAAAAGTTGCTTAGCTAATTTGGGGGACTCTTGTGTGGAGAAATTGACAAATGGGACATTAGCACAATTACATCGTGTATTTTACTTTACACGCATTTCTAATGAATTCAAAGAAGAAAAGGTTTGTCTGGAAGAAGGAGAAATGAAAGAATTTGAAAGTCTCTCGGATGATGAACGTTATTTGTCTCCATATTACATTCCTTTTCAAAGTAGAGACCAAAAATACAAAGAGCTGCTCGATGCACTCAAAGGTGATATATAATCATATTGCAAGGGATGGGTGGCATTGGAAAAACAACATTAACCAAAAAAGTTGGAAAAGAACTAAAAGAATCTGCACAATCACTCATGTGATTGATGTAAAGATGTCGTTTACTCCTAATATAAAAAAAATTCAAGATGATATTGCTCAACCTTTAGAAATGGAATGGTATTGTAAGGACTCAGAACGATCCAGAAAACTATTAACCCGATTATCAAGTGGTGAGAATGATGAGAAAATTCTTTTAATAATGGATGATGTGTGGGATCAAGACCTTCGTCTTGATTTTGATCTAATAGGAATTCCAAAAGAGGAGAATCTTAAAGGTTGCAAAGTTCTGATAACCACACAGAGTACGCAAATATTCACTGGAATGCATAGGAGTAAGATGATTCAGTTGGAGCTCTTAACTGAAGAAGAAGCATGGGCCATGTTTAAAACATATGCCGGTATTGGAATTAGTTCTTTATCAAAAAAGTTGATCGAAAAGAGTCGTAAAATTTCCAAGGAATGCAAACAATTACTGATTGCAGTTGCAGTTATGACCAAAAATTTGAAGGGCCAACATCCTAATAAGTGGGATGATACCTTAAGATCATTGAGTAAGCATGTGGCAGTGGACGATGTTGATGAGGAAAAGGTTGGAGTTTATAAATGTTTCAAGTCTAGCTATGATTATATATGGGATAAAAAAGCCAAGAGGTTGTTCCTCTTATCTTCTTTATTCCCATTAGATAAAGATATCCCTATTGAAATTCTAACTAGACTTAGCTTTGGAACGAGCCTTTTTGAGGAAGCTTATGACATCTACAATAATGCTCGAAGCAAAGTATATGAAATTAAAAATAATCTCATAAATTCATGTCTGTTGTTGAGGGTCAATGATGAACATGTAAGAATGCATAATTTGGTTCATGAAGTGGCTCAATGGATAGCAAAAAATGAGATTCAATGTGTAAATTTGTCTAACAAAGATCAAAAATCATCACTTGAAAGGCAAACAAATATTAAATATTTATTTTGTACAGGGAAGGACAAGGATTTATTTTCCTGTCAGATTGATGGTTCTAAACTTGAGATTCTAATTGTTGACATGGAAAGAGAAGAATATCCTAAATGTGTGGAATTCATGTATTCTTTCTTTGAAAAAATTGTCGAGCTTCAAGTTTTGTATGTTTTAGGTCATGAAAAACGAGACTTATCATTACCACAATCAATTCGCTCATTGGCCGTTATTCGATCTATATTGATTGATGGAGTTGATTTAGGTGACATCTTTGTTTTGGGAAATTTGCAAAGTCTTGAGACTCTTGATTTGGATAAATGCAAAATCAATGAATTGCCAAAAGAAATTGCAAAGTTCAAGAATTTTAGATTGTTAAACATGGTAAGATGTGTAATTAGAAGGGTGATCCATTTGAGGTTATTAAAATGTGCTCATCACTTGAAGAGTTGTACTTCATAGATAGTTTTAATGAATTTTGTCAAGAAATAACCTTACCACAATTTAAATTGAAAAGGTATCGCATCGGTAAAAAATGGGAGTGGAGTAGAGATAGTTGGTTACTATCAAAATGTGTGGCTTTTACTGACCATAATTGTTTTCTTTCAAAAGAAACATACAAGTATTGCATGCAAACATCAGACGCTCTTCAACTAAATGGAATTTCAATTAAGGAGGGATGGAGAAATCTCATGCCTGAGATTGTTGATATACCTCAAGGTATGAATGTTCTTGTTGAGCTTCGTATAAGCGAAATTTCACAATTACAGTGTCTCATTGACGCAAATGATTTTCAAGATCCAAAAGTACTGTCCAAGTTGGTTGTACTAGAACTGGACAAAATGAAAATTTTGGAAGTACTATTCAAGGGTTCCCTTTCTTCTGACTCTTTGATGTTATTGGAGGAGCTATCAATATTCAAATGTGAAATGCTTCAAAGATTGTCTAATTTCAAGCTAAATCTCTGCAAGCTAAAGAAAGTGGTACTTTTTGAATGCCCAAGGTTAGTTAACCTCTCTTCATTGTTAACTTCTTTGAACCTGAGGCTTCTAGAGAAATTGGAAATACGTGATTGTGAGAAATTGACAAGCATAATAATAGATGGAAGAGGAGAGAATGAATTAAGAGAAGAAATAGATAACAATGATAATGATAACAAGAAATATGTCTCAATGTTTCCAGAACTAAAAAATCTTGTTATTGAAGGATGCCATCTAGTAGAATCAATACTTCCTTTGCTCTCCTCTCGAGACCTTCCAGAACTAGAAACCCTAAAAATAAAAGAATGTAATGAGCTCAAATACATATTTAGAAAATGTCAACATGTTGAAAAGGGTTCACTAAAACATATACTGCTTTGGCAATTCCCAAAATTGAAAGAAATTTCTGTTAAAAATTGCTTGCAATTGGAATACATATTTGGCCACTACATTGATGATGATCATCAAAATTACAATGGAATTCACCTTGATCTTCCAGCATTAGAATGTCTAAATCTTCGTAAATTGTCAAGCTTAGTTTACATGTCCAAAACAATATCTCTTGACAATTCCTCATTTGGAAGAACTTCAACTCAAAAAATGCTCTCTGGATAATGCAATCATGAAGGTAATTCCGTTTCCATATATCTTTCTTGTATTAAAAAACAATCATTGATTTCTATATTACTTGAAGAATGTTGATAGATAAAATAGCCACGTGCTGTAATTTTCCTAAGTCTTAGTAAGTTACTCCATCAGTTCGTTTTTACATGTTAATTTTTTTATTCACATTTTTTTAACTATGTTAGTAAAACATATTGAGGTATTATTACTATGCAAGTAGTTCTAAGCAAGATATAATGTATTTGTGGGAAAAATATTGTCTCATTGTGGTAAAGTATGTTCCATTGTCGAACGGTAATATATGTTGTTACGCTACTTTGTGACTCTTATTTCTAAGGTTAAGAATTTATATTGTTTTTTGGGTGACTTTCGACCTATATCTTTGGCGGGCTCTCTGTATAAGCTTGTTGCTAAAGTCTTGGCTAAGATGCTCTCTTTAGGATTAACGTAGAACCTTCTTTCTTAGCTTTTGCAGAGGATTTTCTTGATTGTAAGATTGAGTCTCATCCTTTTAAGTATTTAAGACTTCTTGTCAATGACAAACCCTCGATTGGAGTCTACTTAGGAATTTCTAACTAATCTAACTTTGAAGAGATTTCATTCATGGGGAAAGAGTCATTCTCCATATTTAGGTTCTTAATGATATTCTTGTATTCTTTCTCTCCTTTTTAAAAATGCTTGTGAAAGTGTGAAAGAAGTTAGTGAGGATATTGAGGAGGTTTCTATGGAGCGATGTGAAAGGAGATTCATAGATCTCATAGGGAAATGGTCAGATGTGTGTAAACTTAAGAAATCTGGGGGTTTAGGTGTTAGAGATCTCCAGAAGGTTAATAGAGATAGAGACTTCTGATGGATGCTTTTGGTCTTTGCTTTGATAATCTTTCTGCCAGGTACGACCACTTTATTGTCTCTTCCTAGTGCAGTGATCAATCATTGGTATCTCGCTCCTTCTCTTCTTGGTGGAAAGGAGTGTCCCTCATTGGATTTAAAAGAGATGATCCTCTTAGGATGAGTTTTTTTAAGGTTGGGACCTTCAGACATCTTTTTGAAAAGACCCTTAGATATGGAATATACCCTTTTAGACTAGGTTTTAGAGACTCTTCACCATCTTCCAAAGGCAGGATGTCACTGTGGGTGAAATTGGTAGGTTGATAGATGAGAGGATTTTTTGGGACCTTAGTTGGAGGAGACCGTTCTTCGTCTATGAGAAATCCATGGTCTCTAATTTTTTCTCAATCTTGCAATAGTTTAAATTTAATGAGGAGAATGATAGGTGTGTGTGGATACATACTAGAGATTGCTTGTTTTAAGTGGCGAAGACTAATAAAATTATCGATGGCCTCTGCCTTTCACCTGGGGTTACTCTATCTTGGGAAGATCATTTACTTTCCCTTATTTGGGATAGTTGGGATCCTTTTAAGGTGGCAGATTTCTCTAGGAAATTTCTGCAAGACAAAATTCCTACTAAGAAAAATCTTCTCAAGCATAAGGTCATTATCGATCTAGAGAGTATCACTTGTATATTTTATGGGGATTGGATTGAATTAGCTTCTCATTTGTTGGTCACTTGTAACATACTCCCTCCATTCTCTTTTATAAGAAAATTTTGACTTTTTAGATTTATTGAATAAATAATGTATTTAGACTATATATAAGTTAGATACATCAATTATTAAATTAATCTAAAATGTTAAAATTTTCTTATAAAAGAGAATGGAGGGAGTAGCTTCTAGTGTTTGGTATACGATTTTAGGGTGGTTAGGGATTCAATTGGCTCTTCCTAAGTTGTTAGGACTTCTTTTAAAGTTCTTCCTTTCGTTAGGTGGTAGGGATAAGTCTCTTGAAGGTTTTGTCATGATTTGGCATGTTGTGGCGTGGACTATCTGGTTGGTGCATAATGTTGAGTAATTTAACGGGTCGTCAAAAAATGTGAAAGAGGTGGTTGATAAGAGTATTTCTTGTGGCTTGGACTCTGTTTTTTAATAGATCATCATCGACTTCACCTTCCTTCTCTGACTGACTTTAGAACCCAATCAATGTTCTACACAATAAAGGATCAAGAGTTCTAACCTTCTTCAGAAGGATACGTGGTTTTTGATGTTACTAGTGGACTTTGGGTATTTCGATGGTGGGTCTGACAGTTAGAGCTCTAGTTGGCGGTTCATTGATTGATTTTTCTTGTTTGTGTTTCTTATAGGATCTTTTCTTCTTTTTCAGGTGTTCTTTTCTCCCATTTTTTCCTTGTTCATTTTTAACTTTCTGTTTGCCATTCCTTGTGGCATTAGACTCTTGTTGTTGTATTGTTGGGTTTTCCAACTTGTTAGCTTTTTATTATATATAATAATCTATTTTGTCTTTAAAAAATTAAGTAGAATATTTGTTGCATTCCATGATTATAAAAAACAAAATGTTTATGTTTGCATTTCCATAAGTTATATGCCTAAGTTGTAAGGTAATGTTTGGTTTGATTTTCAGTTCCTTCATACATGGGAACATGCCCAATGCCTTCCATTACAATCAAATATCATGCGCAATGTTAAAGAGATGACGTTGTCTGGTTTCGAATACATCATAGTTGACATTGGAGATGATGAAAGTGGTGTCAATAATTTAGTCAATGTCTTCCCGAAATTGAAAAGGCTTTACGTTCGTGATTGCAAGCAATTCAAATACATATTTGGTCACTACACTGAACGCCATCGATACGACAATGAGATTCACCTTCATCTTCCAACATTACAATCTCTGGAACTTTGCAATTTGCCATGTTTAGTAGCCATCTGTCCTAAACGATATTGCACAACATTTTCATCTTTGAAAGATCTTAAAATCGTGGAATGCTTTATGGATAATAAAATCATGCAGGTATCTATGTTTGCATAAATCTTTGTTGGTTGCAAAATAATCATTGATTCCAATTTTACTTGAAGAATCTATGTTGTTGGATTGCAATATACAATTACTGTTGAGAGTAATATTTTCATGTATTATAAATGAAACAAAAGTCTCTTCAAAATAAAATGCTTAATATCATTGTTACCACATTCCAAAAAAATAAAGTGGCATCAACTAGATGTTTATGTGTAGTCCAAAATAAATGAAAAATCAAATATTATTAATTATTAGTTTCATACTACTAATGCATTTGTTTTTAATACAGGAGTTGGACAAGGAACAACCAACTAGTCAACAAGGTCTGAAAACTCAGCAAGACACACTTGAAGAAATCAATACTAAAGACAAACCCTCTCAGGTATATATTGTATTACATTATCACCTAATTTTGCATGTAAAACTAAAAATATATAATAGAGAAACACTCCTTATGGAATCTATATATTTATCTTCTCTATGTTTTTTATCCAATCAGATAAATAAATTAAACACAACAACAAAATTCTCAATTTCTCACATATAACAAAAATTTGACGTTATAGACATAAATTTATAAATATATTGAATGCTTTATTTCATAATAGTTGAAATACTCTTTAATTTTATTTAAGACTAAAAATATATATTTAACGACTTATAATTAAATTTTTAAAAGAAAGACAAATATAACGAAAGGGTGCCAGTCCTTTTAATTTCTATAAACTTATACTGAAAGTAGTTCTCATTGAATTTTAAATATATTCTTATGTTACTACTCATCGTGTACATGTAGGAATTGAGCGGGAGCATGGAACATTGTATTGCTTTAAAAAGTCTTTTTGTGGATCCAGAAAATTCATTTTACCTACAAAACCTGACACAAATAATAATTGTGGGGTGTGAAAGACTGGAAATAGCTTTCTCTACTTCTATTTTTAGATGCCTATCACAATTGGTTTATCTAAGAATAGATAATTGCAAAGAGTTGAAGCATATCATCAAAGATGACAGAAAGATTCAAAAGATGTCGTATATAACATGCTTTCCAAAGCTAAAAATACTTGTTGTAACAAAGTGTCACAAATTAAAATTTGTCTTTTCGGTCTCCATATGCAAAGAGCTTCCAGAGTTAAAAGCTCTTATAATAAGTGAAACAGATGAGTTGGAAGAAATATTTAAATGTGAAGGTGACCAAAAAGTCAAGATACCAAATTTAGAGATTGTAGTACTTATCAACCTACAAAGCCTCTTCCTCACCCAAGGAGAACAATTTCAGGCAGCAAAAAATCGTTTAGTACAAAATTGTCCAAAACTCAATTTGACTTCAGCCGCAACTCCTTCTGTCATGCGTAACATTAATGACATACAACATTTGTTGTCTCTGGCAACACTTTTTTAGGTAACATGTAGAAATTGTTGCCTTAAATTCATATAGGCAACGATTTACGATTGTTGTCAAAAATATGTTTGCAACCCTTGATAATCGTCGCCTAAAATACTTTTGGGGACGTTTATGGAGCGATACTCTTTTATTTTTTTGCCAACGGTTGTTAATTGTGCCCTTAACTGCTTTTGGGGACGATTTTAGAGCGTTAAAATATTATTTCTTTAGCAATGTTTGACAATTGTCCCCTAAAATATTTTTGGGGACATTTTTAGATTGTTACATTAGTTCTAATAAAAGGCTACATTTCTGAAATGTTGTATAAATTTTTTTAGAATTATCAAATTTTTGGTGGCAATCTTCCCTCCAAAACTTATACACTAAAAAACAAATATTTTTCTCTAAACATTATTAATATATATATAAAAAAAAAATTCTAACACAGAAATTTAAAAATAAAAAATTTCAATTAAACAGAAAATAAAAAATTATATATATATATATATATATATATATATATATATATATATATATATATATATATATATATATATATATATATATATATATATATATATATATATATATATATATATATATATATATATATATATATATATATATATATATATATATTAAAAAAAAATTCATTAAACAGAAAATAAAAAATTTTCTAACACAGGAATTTAAAATATTTTTCATTACTAGTCCTCTCAATTATTGCCACGTCTTATTAAAAAGAATAGAAAATAAAAAAAAGAAAAAGAAACAGATAAGGAAAACAAAAGCAGCAGCTTTCGATTCTCCTTCTTTTTCGTTCACACATTTCGCCGAACCTAGCCGCGCTCTCAGACGCTCCGTCCTTCATCCGCTCCGAGTCAAACCTCTTTCGTTCACACTCTCCGCCGTGTTCTTCGTCACTCCGTCCAACTGCCACGCCGTGTTCGTCGTCCACGTCGTCGTTCGTTCGTCGTTCGCCGTCCAACTGCCGTTCGTCGTTGTATATTCAGAGAACTCTTCAAACAATAATAATTTGCTTCGAGGTATGTTCTCGGTTCTTCCTTTGGTTTGATTATTTTTGTTAGAAACAGTAAAGAAACAATAAACGGAAATAATGAACAACCGATGAGCCATACTCGATAATTTTCCCCTACCATTTTCTTTCGGGGTTCTGTTTGTTGCTTTTTAATTACTGTCTATTCTAATTGTTTGGTTGACCTAGATTTGTACTTTGTGAAAACAGGGGAACGTGTAGTATCCAGGGTATTGTCAGCTACGAATGAGGAAGGTCGAGTTAAAGGGGAGAACTCCATCGAACATGTCACATATGAGGAAGATGCTATTGATGCTGACGACAATGATGAGAGACTTACTAAATCATCTAATGCTTCTGATAAAGCATTTGAGGTCTTAGTAAGTGACATATTTACCTCGTGTTTTGCTTGTGATTTGTGGTACTTTGTTCATTAAGGGTACAAAAGTTTTCTCAGGTTTCTGATCATGCTAGGAAAGTTATGCATGTTTATTTATACGAGTGGGTTGTGCATCATTTATCAAATACAGTATTTAGTATACTTTCTTTGATTGGTTTTCCTATTATGAGTTTAAAATCTGGCAGTGTAAATAAATACAACACATGCATGCTTCAATCTTTCCTTCCATCTCCTTCTTTGTTTTGACTTTGATAAATATGTATTTTATATTGTCTCAAGTTAGAATTTGAGTTTGAAACAATAAAAAAGAATAGAAGTTATATCTAGCTATCAATTAATAAATTTTATATTTTCTTTTATTGGAACTCTATCTATGGTCACGGTTTTAGGACCGTACATGTATTAACTTCAATCATTTCCTTCCATACCTGGCTAGCTCCGTTAATTTGGAAAAAAAACAAATGAGTGTTGCAATCAACACTCATTTTTTTCCATATATGTCTGAAAATTACATTAATGCAATGAAGAAAAACCAACCATAGTGCTTACTGAAATTTTTTTCTTTAAATTTGGTGTATCTTCTTTCAGCTTACTATGCAAGGGAAATAACATATTGAATCTTCTAGCAAAGTAAACAATATCAAGCATCGTGACGAAACACCGCCTGATGTTCGAGTACGGAAACTAAAGGATCAGCTCATCCAAGCTAAAGTTTATCTTTCCCTTCAGGAAGTTAGGAACATTCCCCATCTCACTCGGGAACTTCGGCTACGGGTAAAGGAAGTTTCACGAACAATTGGAGAGGCAAGCAAAGATTCTGACTTGCCAAGGAAGTAAGTGAGTTTTTAAGAATGTATTTTTTGTACTTGTCACCAGGTTTTCCTATTTTTATATAGCTATTACGTTAGTTATTTCATATTTAGCTTTATTGGGAAGTAGCATACAAATATGTTGAATAGTTCAGGTCTTCATGATCTACATTTTATTCAGTTTGAACTTATATTTGTAATTCTACTAATGCAGTGCAAATGAGAGAATGAAGGCAATAGAGCAATCATTGATGAAAGCAAGGCAAATTCAAGATGATTGTGCCACATCCGTGAAGAAGCTTAGGGCTATGCTCCACTCATCAGAGGACCAGCTTCGCGTGCACAAGAAACAGACCTTATTCTTAAAACACTGCCTAAAGGTCTCCATTGTCTTCCGTTGCGCCTTACAACTGAATACTATAACTTGAACTCTTCTCAGCAACAATTCCCCAATCAAGAGAAGTTAGAAGACCCTGGACTATACCATTATGCAATATTCTCAGATAACATATTGGCCACAGCTGTTGTTGTGAATTCTACTGCTGCCCATGCTAAGGTAAGTTATTTTCACGTGGAGATTTCCTGAGTTGTTTTTATTCGCCAGGATTATGAAACTGAACACCAAATAAAATAATCTGTTATAGTATCTCTCTGCAGTTAAATTACTATTCTCTCAATGTTTTAACAAACTAATATGTTTTCATTTTATTTGTGCCTAGAGGTAGTGATGGATAAAAAATGAAAACAAAAACCTTATCTGTTACAATATAATGGTGGTATTTTTCTTTCTGATCAGCATAATAATAATGTAGTTTTAATAAATTTTCAGGATTCCTCCAAACATGTTTTCCACATTGTAACTGATAGGCTCAATTATGCGGCAATGAGGATGTGGTTTTTGGCCAATCCACCTGGAAAGGCGGCAGTTCAAGTTCAAAACATTGAAGATTTTGCATGGTTGAACTCGAGTTACAGTCCAGTTCTTAAGCAGCTAAGTTCTCCTTCAATGATAGATTATTACTTTAAGGCTCACCGTGCTTCTTCTGATTCGAACCTCAAGTTTCGGAATCCTAAGTATTTATCTATGTTGAACCATCTCCGCTTCTACTTGCCCGAAATATTTCCAAACCTCAAGAAAGTGCTGTTTTTGGATGGCAATGTAATTGTGCAGAAGGATCTTACTGGTCTTTGGTCAATTAACTTGAAGGGAAATGTAAATGGTGCTGTCGAAACTTGTACAGAAAGTTTTCATCGGTTTGATCGTTACCTCAACTTCTCAAATCCTCTTATTGCAAAGAATTTCGACCCCCGTGCTTGTGGATGGGCATATGGTATGAATGTTTTTGATCTGGTCGAATGGAAGAAACAAAACATCACAGAGGTGTACCATAACTGGCAGAAGCTGGTAGGCACACTTCAGTTTACTTTTCAATAACATCACAAAATTGAATGAAATGCATATACTGTAAACTTGTCTCATTTCTTTCCAAGCTAAACAGGGTGCCAAAATGCCCATCAATGTTGATTGATGATTATGTAGATCTTCACAAGTCAAAGGAAATGGATGCAACCAAGTCAAACAATGGTGAAAAACCGGGCAGCAGCGTTAACCGTAAAGGATATAAGACCGCAAATGCATTCATCTATATCAACTCATGCTCCATGTCATGGAAAGGTAACCATATATACCAATATTATTGATTTATATTTTTCTAATTATGTTATAGTATCAAAATGGTTGTTAATGTATGCAAAAATTTGCAAGTAGTGACAACACCTAGAATAAAGTAAGTGGTTGAAATTGTTTAAGTAGTGACAACACCTAGAATAAAGTAAGTGGTTGAAATTGTTTAAGTAGTGACAACACCTAGAAGTGGCTGAAATTGTTTTATTTGTGCGAGCTTTCATTGATATTTCACAAACATACTTGCCTGGGATAAGATTATGGGACCCCCTTGTTTGATAACACTCACTATGTATGCTGTAAATTTATCCATATGATACTGAACACCAAAGAAGATACAACAAGTAAGAGTGTTCATCAGAGTTCATTTACTCCAAAAAATAAACATAAAAGGATAACACAAGTTATACATACATACATACATACATACAGTTAAAGGATATTGTAAGTCCTGAATAGTGAGCCAAAAACAGAATGATTTTCATAATTGATTTATTTGCTAGTAAGCTCATGTCACCTATTACAGTTTAGAACGAAAATTCACATCCATTAAAAACCTTCATAATTAATTCACATCCATGAGATGTGAAGAATATAAACAATGTGTTTTGCTCATTGGTTTAGTTTTTATTTGTGCGAGGTTTAATTCTTGTTGATGTCTTAATTGTCCTTTGGACCAAAAATACTTATGGTTAATGTGTTTTATTTTATTTTCTTATGCAGCAATGTATCAATGAAGATGTTGAAAAGGACGATATAAATGATGAAATTCAAGAGGACGACATAAATGATAAAATTCAAGAGGACGGCCTAAATGATAAAATTCAAGAGGACGACGTAGATGACGAATTTCAAGAGGAGGATATAGATGGTGAATTTCAAGAGGAGAATATAGATGGTGAATTTCAAGAGGACGACGTAGATGAAGAATTTATGGAGGATGACATATCTAACGAATTTCAAGAGGATGATCTGGATGCTTTACTTCTAGAAGACAAACTTGAATGAGTTGGATGATGTTTTTTTTTTGGCTTGTAGTTGAAAGCATTAAACTTGAAATATGATTTTTGTTCTTTTGCTGAACTATGTTTTTAGTTATTTTACTAGGGTCATACTTCAAAGTATTAAAAGTAATATTGTTACGTTAGGCATTTTGTGTACTCTATATACTATATCTTGAATTAAAGTTTGAACTCGATTTTATTATATTACAACTTTTATGGATGTATGGTTTAAGTTATATAATCAATATTATTTTTGAAGCCAATTATTATTGACTATATTATTTTGACAATAATTGCAAAATTGTATATTTTATGTGGACACTATAAAACAACAACCTATAAGCTATGGCTACACTTTAAAAACGATCTTCCTGATTCAGGTTTAAGGCAACGATTGTTAATTGTAGCCGAATTTGGCAACGCAACGCTTAAAAAACGTTGTCTCAGAGGCCGTAAATAATCGTCCCCTATTCCTTTACTATAGGCGACGTTTTTCAAAAGCGTTCCCAAAAAACATTAAAAAACGTCGCCTCAAACAATAGGCAACGCTCGCACAGGGGACGCCTAGAAAACGTCCCCTATTGTTTTAGGCAACGATTTTCAGAGTTCTGACAACGTTTTTCAATTGTTGCTGGAGATCCTAAATGTTGTAGTAATTTGTTTTGATTTCAAAGGTACACACTATACCAATTACTTTTCATAACCATTGCATGATGGTTTTAATAAATTAAATATCATGTAGTGTTTATGAAATATCATGTTGGTTTTTTAAATATAAATGTCAAAACTTTTGAGATAATTTTCCATAACTTATTCTACCTATATTTCTTACCCAAACTACGAGAGAATATACAAGTGTCTCTCGGTATAATTTGAAAAATAAAAATACTATGACATTGTCAAAGATGTCATATAATCTTTGTTTTATCTTTACCAATTCTCTATGTCTTTTAAAGGGTCTAAAGTAGAAATGTCATATAATTTTAGTTATTTGGCATAGACAGATAAACAACTATTTCTATGAACTTCTAGGAGGGAATTTTATAATCCTCTGAAATAGTAGTAAAATGGTTGAAAGTGTCACTTTAGTTAATATAACTTATTTTTTTCATCTTTTTCAGTATTTTAAAAATATAGAAGCAATTGTGTATCTAATGAACATTTTGGTTTTATGTTATGCTTATGACTTATTATCTATACTATTTTCTGTAGATTTTCGGAGTATCAAATATTTATATGACAGAGAGCCATTTCTACACTATAAATGGAATAATCTTTTTGATGTTTTTGATGTACAAGGGTTGTACGGTATTAAAAGCAGTTTGACGTTATTAAAGGTCAATATAAATCTATTTATTTAAAATGGATGTAATTAATTATTAGTTTTATGTCACTAATGCATTAGTTCATAATATAAGAGTTCGTGCAAAGACAACGAAATTTAATCAACCAATGAGATCCAGGTGGAGAAATAAATACTACCAATAAATCCTCTAAGGTATATAATAATAATACAATATCACCTAATTGTGAATGTAAAAGTAAAAATACAAAGATTTTACTTCAAATGCTTCTTTAAAAATTTATTACAACTTAACTCCCAAAGTAAACACATCTCCAATTTCTTGTGTTCTTTTTCTCGTATTTAATGTAGGAATATAATTATACTAACGACTTAAACATGTTTTAATTTTATACAGACGGTTAAAGATGGTGTTGCATTAACAAATCCCAAGACAATAACAGCCCCAAATCATTTAGAGATAGCTAGTTCATCACATGTTAGTCTGAGTTTACAAAATCTAATCAAATTTTTATAGTTTTCAGCGACGATAATAAAAAGTTAGGGTCTGCTAAAGGTATATATATTTTATATATATATAGATATGTATATATATATATATATATATATATATATATATATATATATATATATATATATATATATATATATATATATATATATATATATATATATATATATATATATATATATATATATATATATATATATATATATATATATATATATATATATATATATATATATATATATATATATATATATATATATATATATATATATATATATATATATATATAGTGAGGCTAATCTTACTGTTCTGGACTTGGCCCGACAGGCCCAAAAGTATTATTAAGGCCCAGTCCAAAGGGACTTGCTGAGGACCACGCCGAGCAAAGGGGTCACATCCGTGCCCGACATCCCGATGTCCAGCTCGACATCCGCTGTCCAACTCCACGTGATGATGTCCAGCTCCACCTCCTGACGTCCAGCTCGACATCCTGTCGTCCAGCTCGACGTTGTCTCGAGCATCCCAACTAGGGCAGACTCAGTCCACCGTTCCCCTAACGATACTCCGGAAAGACCGCGTCTTCGTCCGCCCGCACTTCACGCAGAACATCCAGGAAGGGGACCACGTGCGGGTCCCCACTACCCACGTAGAACATGGCAGTTCCTCCATTGGGCCAAATTCGCCCGGCCCAATGAAGGAACCTTGGCCCAGCGCTGGGGGCTATAAATACCCTCTGTTTCCAGAGGGTCAGGTATTCATCATTCTAACCTCAACTTACTACTATCTGCTCGTACTCCTACTTACTTCAGCATCGGAGTGCCTTGCAGGTACCCCCCCCACCTCGTTCAAAAAAGCTTTCTGCTCGGAGCCAGCCGTGACGGTCCATTTCTGATCAGGTCAGATCAGTGGCGCCGTCTGTGGGAAACAGCTTCCCCGTCTAACGAACAATTCTAAGGACCAAAGCTCAATCTAACTACCTGTCATGGCTGATCCAGCTCGCGACGAGCAGCTCGTCCGTGTCGCCGACACTAATAACGGTCCCGCGGACAAGAATGGGCACCTCGACAATCCCGGTGATCCCGACCACATTGCCATCCCTGTGACCACCGCCCCGGGACCTTCCACATACAGGGACGGGAATACTGCATCATCCTCGACGACCCCTCCAACACTCGAGGACGACCCGGCAGCTCTCACCCATCACAGAGTTGCCCGGTTCTTTGAAGTCCCAGTTCCTGCCGGGGCAGATGCCACGACTCAGGCACTGTTCGCGGCCATCAACCAGACAAATTATCTCATATTCGCCCAAGGAGAAAGACTAAGGGCACTCGAAAATGATCGACGACCCCCGAGGAGGCATCGGAGGCCACCTTCTCCACCTCCTCGGGTCGAAGAAGTTCGACACCCTTCTCCCCCGCGGAGACACTACAGGGAGAACTCCAGGAGCCCCTCTCCCAGACCAAAGCAGAGGCGGCCCAACTATGAGAGACAGCCCGCTATTCCAGCCGGGGAACCCAGTCGCGACCCATCAAGGCACGACAAGAGGCACCCCGGAGACGGGCGTGTGACCTTCAACCACCGAGCATCACGCTCGAGGGAATCTCAGCACGATCATCGTGCCAGACATAATTACAGGACCCCTTCTCTTTCTCCGGAGAGGAGCGACGAGGACGACCCCCGCGGTCCCCTGTCGCAGGCCATCATGGATGCACCTATCCCCCCGGGCATGGAGAAGCCCCCACATCTGAAGGAGTATGACGGCGTAGCAGACCCGGTCGACCACATTGACGGGTTCGAAGCCATGCTCCACTATCATAATGTCGGGGGGCCCATCAAGTGCCGTCTCTTCCCCACAACTCTCAGGAAGGCGGCCATGGACTGGTATAAAGGACTCGCCCCGGGCTCAATTACCTCGTGGCGGAACCTGAAGAACCAGTTCATCAGTTCCTTCACAGCTTCTCGGCGCCACCCGAAGACCGAGGCGGCCCTCGAGGCCATCATCCAAAGACAGGATGAAACCTTGAGGGAATTCATCAACCGCTTCAACCGGGAAGCAATACAGGTCCCCTGCACGGACCATATGAAAAGATATTTGCTGGAGAGGGGCCTCCTCCCCAGCACAGAATTCAGAAAAGCTGTGGGTATTGAGCCACCTGCAACTTTTGATGCTCTCCTCGACAAAGCCCGAGCATACATGGACTACGAGGAGAGAGAAGCTGCCAACAGGGCACGAGACTCCAGGGCTCGCGCTCCCAATCATAGCAGCAGCTCGCGACAAGACCCTCCTCCCCGACGTACCGGGGAGAAAAGGAAGGAAGATCGACCCCGGGAGGTCCGAGAACAAAGGGGCCCCTCGGGCCGTTTCACTGAGTACACTCCGCTCACGGCTTCCCGCGAGCGTATTTTGGCGGAGTGTGCTAGCACAGATTTCAAAGACGGTGGCGTCAAGCGTCCCCGACCTGCTCCCGCCAAGCCAGGGGCAGACAAAAATAAATATTGTCAATACCATAGGAGTCATGGCCATTTGACAGAGGACTGCGTCCACCTCAAGGACGCCATTGAAACCCTCATCAAAGGAGGGAGGCTCGCACAGTACAGGCGAAACGACGCTCCCCGTCGTGACGCCCACGAAGCTAAGGAGCCCGAAGAGGATGCCCGACCATCAAACGAGTCGGTACCAATCCAGACCGCCTTCTCGGTAACCAGGCCCGAGGATTTCGACATTCCCGAGCTCCTGCAGGAGCCCCTGACAACACACAGCAGGTGGGAATACTTCCCCTCCGCCATGGTCATCAGCGGGGGCGGGTTCAACGACCTCACCATCAATTCAGCCAAGAGGAAGTTGGACGAACTGGTCGACACAGCTCCTCCACAAACTGTGACGTTCGAAAGGGTGAAGGGCAGGTCAGAGCCCATCACCTTCTACCTAGAAGAGCTCCCCGGCGGAGCCCCGAACGCAGTCATCCCCTTGCTGATAAGGGCAAAGATGGTCAACTTTGACGTGCATCGCATCCTGGTCGACGAAGGAAGTTCCGTCGACGTGATGTACAGCCAGCTGTTCCGGACCTTGCAACTGGACGACTCACATCTCTCTCCGTATGTGGGTTCAGATCTTCAAGGCTTCAACGGCTCGACTTCCAAACCTTGGGGTTATGTCGAGCTCCTGGTGACGTTCGGAGAAGGAACGGCT